TTTGGTACTGGGGATCAAACTTGGGTCCTTGTGCTTGCGCAGCAGGCGGCGAAACCACTGAGCTAAATTCCCAGCCCTATCACATCTATTCTTGCTCCCTCTTGGCAAGTACTCAACAATCTCCCCTACTGCCCTCCCCCCATTTTTTCCACATTTACTCATTTCCTCCACCAACTATCCATCATGTATCTGGTATGTATGGAATGTATTAGTTACTGGGGGTAATCTAATACATAATCCAGCTGTCATGCCTGCTCAGGGTTTACTTTAGCAGGCACTATACATGGTATGGGAATGCCATGAGAATACAGCTTTCTGGGAAGGTACCCAGAAAGCAATGACACTTGGGGAGGTTAAAGGCTTTTCAGCAGGAAAAAAAAGCCTTTGTGAAAGCCTAAGGCAAAGGAATGGACACGGAAAATTGAGTATTGCACATAGGAAGAGTGGCAGATGGGAGAGATTCAGCTGTAGGGCTAAGGAAGGGCCAGACTGTAAAGAACCTTGTAAAACCTTATTAGGACTGTGGCCTATAAACAATCTTTTAAAGGTACTTAAACTGGAAAAGAGGGAAGGTTTGCATAAAAAAAAATTGTCTCTGACTGCAACAAATGGATTTGGGAGGGAACAAACTTGACAATTAGACTGGTTAGTCCAGATAAGGTGATGGTGAATGAGGTGAAGTAGGAAGTGGCCTTTGGAAAAAAGATACGTGAAGGATGTGGGAGACATTTAGACAGTGGCATTGATTGATGATGGACTTGATGACTGATTAGAGGGAGAAAGTGAGAGAAAGGAGAAGTCAGGATGATGATTGTTTTGCAGTTGGCAGTTGGTGGATAGTGGGATTGTTGCCTAATATGGAGAAGAGCAAGAGGAGCATTTGGGAGCAACTATGTGGTGGCAGGAAGAGAACATAGATGATGGGTGTCATTTTTGATAGGCTATGTTGCTGAGTGGCACATGGACAAGAAAGTGGAGATATCTAATGCCCAGATATGTGTCTAGAGCTTAGGAGAGACCTCTGAGCTATAGGTGGGCACATAGATAGCAGTGAAGCCCCAAGAGTCATTGGGTTTTTCGTGGCATTGTGTAGAATGAAATGGGAGGATTAACTCAGAACCTAGAGGTGAAATGGAGAAAGGGGAATCTATAATGATTATAAAAATCTACCAGTGATCCGGAAAGCCAGGAAGCTTCATATATGTTTAGTGTAGTGATGGTGAATCTTTTAGAGCTTTCAGTGATACAGACAGCCCACTGTGGCATGCATGCCATAGGTTTGCCACCACTGGTCTAGTGTGTTAAAATACTGAATGTGTCTTTGTCGGAAGAAACAGTGAAGTACAAAAACAGTTAAACTAATAATCTGTTGCAAGAAGTCAGGAAAGCTCAAGAGGTGAGGGCTGAAGTGTTTTTTCAGTTTTTTTGTGTTTTTATTTTTCTTGATTTGGGTGCTGATTGTATGTGTTGACGAATCTTGTGAAAATTATCAAGCTATATATTTATAATATATGCTCTTTCTATAAGTATGTTGTATGTTAATAAGAAGTGTAAAAAACATAACTAGGTTAGTCCAGGTGGAGTGTCTAGGAGCCAGAGGACAAAAGGTCACGGAGGAATTAGAATGTGCAAAAGTAAAACTGGGAGACTTCAAAGAAGCTTGATTCTAACAATGATCTACTGCTGTGCCACAAACCATTCCAAAACTTGGTGGCTTAAGAAAATGACAATTGTATTTGCTCGTATTCCGAGGGTCAGCAAGTTTACTTGGCAGTTTGACTAGACCTGGATGACTCAGTGTGGGCTCGCTCCCATGTCTGACAATTGGTGCTGGCCACTGTCTGCTCCTCTCTCTAGATGGCCTCTCATCCTCACACGATAGTGGGATTCTAAGAGGGTAGGGGTAAAAGTTGCAGTTCTCTTGGGGCCCAGGTTTCGAAGTTGTATGTCACTGCTGCCATATTCCACTGATTAAAGCAAGTCACAAGCCCGGCTCCCATCAGGGAAAGGTGGAGACTGCAGTGACCTGGACAGCCCATGCCCATGTGAAAGGGAATAGGAATGTGAATCTGGAATAGGAATTGATGCTCCTAGATATTCTTCATAAAAGTCAGAAAATCAAAATTTTATGTAAAATCCACCAATTTTTATATTTGGCAACTAATTTACAATGCTAAACAACATTGTGTGGTCTGAGCGAATATGCTTATGTGCTAGATGCAGCCTGTGAGCTTCAAACTTACAAACTTTGCGCTGGGTAACAATGCTTAAAATAACAGAAACTCCCATTCTCCAAATAAAGGTATTTCACAAATTTATTCTGTCTCTTAGGCTTGTGAGGCATCAGTTTAGATTTTTGGCTAATTTCTCTGGTATGGGAAACCAACAATGGAAGGATAATAAGAATGTAGACAAAAACATCCAGTACAGTGGACCCTTGACTTATGACCTCTATCGGTTCCTGAGGGCTGGTTGTAACTCAAGTTGGTCAAAAGTCAATACATCTGAGATCTGGATGTTTACCTGGGCACATGCTATAGATAACAAGAGGCAGATGAATCTTCCATTAATCTAATTAACCCAAGTTGTTTGTATATCAGCCTGGTTGTAACTTGAGGGTCCACTGTATCTTCTCCCACGACACCATTATTTGTCCTTTCCTGCTTATAACCTCCATCTGTAAATTACTATCATTTGATTACTGCCTTGTTTTCTGCTGCTAGAAACAGAAACTACAGATTGGATAATTTATAAACAATAGAAATGAATTATTGACTCAGTTCTGGAGGCTGGGAAGTCCAAAACCACAATGCTGGCTTATGGTGAGTGACTGGCTGTAGCATAACATGGTGGAAGGGAAAGCAGACACACTGGCAGCAGGAAGAGAAAATCAGGCTGAATTCTTCCTTCCTATTAGGAGTCCATTCCTAACCCACTCCTGAGATAACAGAATTAATCCACTCATGCTGGCCGAGACCTGGTAACCCAACACCTCTTAAAGATCCAACCTCTTACAATGGAAATTAAATCAATATTGTTAACATTGTTACAATGGAAATTAAATGTCACCATAAGTTTAGGAAGGGACACTCAAACCATAGTGATCCTTTTTTGGAATTGTGAAATCTCAGCTAGGCTGTAGGCTGTGTGTGTGTGTGTGTGTGTGTGTGTGTGTGTGTGTGTGTGTGTGTGTTTATTGTCCTCATTCAAGATGCCCTAACTCACTTTCAGAGAGTAAATGAAAGGAAACTGCTGCAGCCAGCACTGATTTGGTAGAAAGCACCTGCTATATGCCAGGCATTACGCTTTTACTTAGGTTTCTCATGGCCTCGTTATCATGGGCTTGAAGACCTCAGAGAGGTTCATCTGCTCAGGAAGATCCCATTGCTGGCAGCTGGCAGGGCTGAGTTTTAGGCAAGATCAGCCAGTGAGCATCAGAGCATGTTTGGCTATCTGAGCTGCAGAGAGCGAGCTGTAGAGCTGTTTAAAGAACTCAAATGTGAAGTCTTTAGAGGAGGCTGTGTCTAACAAAGCCAGTAAGAGTAGCTGTTATTATTATTAGTTACCAATAGTGGTAATGTTCTTCCTTGGTTCCTACTCCAGTGTCCTCAGAGAACAGTGTTTATCATACTCTAGGATTTGCTGTTCGCTCCAGCATGGGAGAATTCCCACACTTGCATCCAGCTGCCTTATATGTCAGGTCATTTTGTGAATGGGAATCCTGTCCATTAGCTAAAATTCTAGCACCACAAAGGTGGGAAACCTGGACTGACATGTTCACTGATGTATCTCCAGCACTACAACAGGGCCTTGCTCACTATGTGCTTATTGAATGCCATATCAGTCTTTTAGAAGAAATTTGCTTGGTCACTGTGTCATTGCACTGCACCTGTGGGAGGAGCCCTGGGAGGTGGAGAACACTATTAATTTGTGTACAGGAGGATGCCAGAGGCATACAGTGGTGTCTCCATCTCAGTCACAGAGCACACTGGTTCCAAAAACCCCACATGCACAATGAGGGATCATTTTCAAAAAAAGGGAGACTGCTGATTTCACAATTTTAATTGCTCAGTTAATGAATGTTTATATTTTAAAAAAGAAAAGCAGCTAAAGGACCAGGTGTAGAAAGCAGTGATTGTGAAGCAAAGAAAGAATACATGTACCATTTCCAACACTTCACAGAAGGAAAACTCAGGGAAACAAAGCTTCTTGATTTCACAATTCTCGTTCTGAATATGAACACTCAGGCTTCTCCATCTTCATTTACATAACACTTTAGTTACAGACATTTCTAACCATTTGTGTTTATGAATGTTCAGCTGGAGAAGCTGACCACATCTTTCCAGTACCAGAAGCCATGTGATTTTCATTCCTGAAAGGACTTAGCTATGGTCTTGGTGTAAACAGATTGTAGAATTTTGGGCCCTGGGATAGGGAGACTTGACAACCCTACTGATGGAGGAAATTAAAATTTGCCTGAATTTGTTTGTTAATGGTGCTCTGTTTGAATATTCTCTAGAAGAAGGATCAGAAAGATTTCTCTTAATGATAGTAAATATTTTAAGATATGTGGGGTATATGGTTATGAGTGAGTATGGCTATGTTCTAATAAAACTTTATTCACAAAAAAAAGTGGAAGCCAATTTTAATTTGCAAAATCTCTACCATAGAGAGGAAGCTATGAGCCTAGTTCTATGTCATGAGGTTGGGCCCCTCATAAGGGATTAGTGGCTTTACATGAAGAAACAGCAAAGAGTTTGTTAGAAATGGACCATGTGGGCACCCTGGTCTCAGACTTCCTACTTCCACAATTAGGAAAATTAATTTTTGCTATTTAAGCCACTCAGTCTATAGTATCTCGAATGGCAGCTGAACACGCTAATGTGAGGCCTATTTTTTTTTTTCAGGAAAATTTTTTTCTTGTTCTCTAAAATAGTTTGTACAAAATAAGGAGCTGCTCTGATTAGAAGTAGAAGTGGAAAGAATAAAAAATAAGGAGATAAGAAAGAAGTACAGGTTCTTTATTATATATACATAAAAATCTGTTCTTTGTCTCACATCTGCGAAATGATTTCTCGGTTTGCTGCTGCCATCTAAGACTGTTCAGTCATGACACAATCACCAAGTTCTTACATAAGAAATTAGCTGTCCATATTCTGAGTGCCTACAGACAAAATTTTCTTCCGAAGATATTTTGAAACAGGGTTTTGTTTCACAATATGCCACAGGATTATCTAATGATTGGCTTTCCACACCCCTCTGTGATGTGTTACAGCTAAAAATTAAGAACTTCCTTCCCACAGAAGGCTGAGTCATGGCCTGACCCCTGATCTGAACACATAATTATGCTAGAACTGCTAGTCCTTCGATCTCCTCTAATGAATAACTCTCCCAGGCCATTACCACTTTCTACCCTTCATTTATTGTAATAATAGAATTTTTCCTTCTTAGAAACAAAAATAATTACAGATATTTACAGAATGTCAGGTATAGCATTTATAGGTATTTTAAAAGATTATAGTCAGTTTGAAATGTTGAACAATTTATAATAATTTTTCAAGTTTTTACATGACATATTCTAAAGTTATCAGACATTTCGATGTTAAGATACATCATTTGAACTTCCAGTAGGTATTAATGGGGTCCAGACATGATAGGTAATTAGGTCATAAGTACATCTCATGCCCACATTCCATGCAATTCTTGCAGAATGTTGCACTTTGTAAACTGCTACTGCATAAGAAAAAATTATTGCTTTGAATTTTCTATAAGATCCCTCCACATCAACTTTGTTGTTTTTTTTTGCAGATAAGAATCTTGCCTCTAAGAAGTAGAAAAACTTGCAAGAGAAACCAACAGTAAGATTTCTGGCCTGAGGCTCAGCAAACTTTTCTTTTCATTAGCCCTCTCCTCCTCTGTATTCATTCCACAGACACTGAATCTCCTGTGAGCCATCTGGGGTCACACTATGAACAATACACAGTGAAATCCCTGCCTTGTGGCCCTTCCATCCTATTAGGCAGAGACAGGCAGGATTCAAAACAGCCTAAAGGTAACCTGTCTACAATTTATTTCCTGCACATCCTCATGTTTGGGCTATGGTGAAGTGGAGAGGCCAACAACAGACCGCAGCAATTTTGCTAGTCTCAGTTCTGCCATCTACATATTGTGGGTTTAAGGCAGACCTTCATCCAATATGAGCCTCAGTTTCCTCATCTATAAAATGGGGAGGGATTGGATTAAATGACTTATTAAGGGAAAGGGTCCTTTTAGGCTCTTTTATTTTTCATGTTTTTATAAGAACAATTTGCACAAAACCAAGGGTCAGTTTGTTCATTGTTCTAAGGTTTGCAAAATATTTTTAAATAAAATAAAAGAATCCTTTAGGTATTCCACATACACTCAAGACCTCAAAGTCCAATCTAAATTTTCATCAACATAAAATGTCTCATTTACAACAGCTAAGTAATTAAGTCATTTTACCATCTTCAGCCATATTAAAAATAAGTTATTTACTAATAAAAACTACTCAGAGCTACTTAGAAAATTTCACCTCATTTCTCTAGCTGTGAAATCCTCTCAAGTGTGACACTATCTCTTCTACTAGTAGGTATCACTGACTCTGTGGTCTTTTTTCTGGCCTGCATATTACTTCATGAAAATAGAGATTGAGTGCTTGCTTTGAGAAACCCCAAGGGGATTCTGTCCCAGCGACCTGTCCGTGTGCATAATCTCTGTACTTGTACTCTGTTTATCGCTCACAGGCCTCTTGGGAACCCGCTCTAGCTCTTCAGGCTATAAGGGTATAAGCTCTTCAGGCTATACTCTAGCTTCTTTGGAAGCCCTGGTGGAATATTAATTATATTTAATAATGCAAGCAAAACAGCATATATTTTATAATCATTTTTTCTTAAACATGATAACATAGTGACTGTCAGATAAAGTTAGATTTATTAACTTGTCAGGAATTATGAAACCTTTGATTCTCTTGAAAGGCAAATTGCAATGACTTCTTTGACTATGAAATGAAGAAATTCAAATTCCAATCAATCAGGGATGATAAAAATTTCACAGGACTATAAGGAATCTTATCAGGTTCAGATTCCCACTGACACTGGAGGTTTCTGAAGGATGTATGCTCCATCTAAGTTTTATCTGTGTGCTGTGTAATCAAATACTCAAATATTCTATGCATGTTTTCAAATTTTATCAGTTGGTCTCTATTAGAAGGACACATCTTGGCAGTGCTTTAGGGGGCAAAGTGAAATCTCTCCTTCAGTACTGGAATTTAATTCTTTCCTGTTGCTCTGTGGTGTCAAGATACAGCATTAACGTTATCAGAGCACTGGCTGCTGAGTAGACTAAAGTCTGTCCTGTCCCTATAGTGACTGAAAAGAAATAATGACCACATCCTTGGTTGGGTGACCACAACTATTACAGGACCAGATGGGCAAGAGCAGCCCTGTAACCTGGAGGAAAGTCGAGGCAGCCCCAGAATATCTTCTAGCAATAAAGGGTATCTCAAGCAGTGCTGTATGGAATAAATGATGAGGGCAAGTTATGCAGTGGCTGCATAATTGGAGGTCAGAGAAGATGAAGGAACTTTTGGCAACCTGGATCACAGTTACACATAAATTCTTATTAGCAAAGGAAATGGATTTTGGTATATACCACGGAATCTGGCTATGTTTTAAGATGTTGAGGTCAATGCTACCAAGAAGAATGCAGTCCCCTTTTACAAGGATAGGCAGGAGAAATTATATAGTCTTGGTGATGCTCAGTGTCCTTACATCAGTATGATCACAGCCTTTTGCAGTCACTCCAAAGGGTCCATGTGTTGGACCTGAGAGTACATTGGACTGGATTTGGCTGTGAGGTGCCCCGGAAGTCACTGCATGCATTGTGGGCTTCAAGGGAGAAGTCTTTGTGCTGCAGTCACGTATATCTCTTAAGTCCAAACCTCTGTGGGCACTATGGCTTCTTTGGTTCCAACAGAAGGCAGCAGGCTTTCTTCAGACAAGAAGTAAAAGGGGAATTGCACCAAGAATCCACGGATCTTTTTTAGTTCCTCCTCAGCTCTGATGGGATCTTCCTTTGCTAATATGGGCTTGTTTATGAAGTCTCTCAACTGCATTAAATTGTGTACTTCATCATTGGGAAGGCATCGGAACACCTGATTAAAACACAAATTGGAACTTGAGTGATTAGTTTAAGAGAAAGCATATGACTTTTATTTTTAAAAATTTCATTCCAATAGGCAATTTTGTTTTATGAAACACATTATTTTATGTCAAAGCAGAGACTTAACAGTTGCTGCTCTTACTTGCCACAAAATGACTGCTAAAGGCCGGGGATTTAGCTTAATGGTCCCACTGCCTGCCTGGCTAGTGCAAGGTCCCGAATTCGATCCCCGCTACCAAAACAACAACAACAACAACAACAACAACAACAACAACAACATGACTGCTAGATTTGGTTCCACTGAAAAAAGTCACAGCTAGATCCTTACATCTCATCTACATAGGTCATTAGCTGAAGAATAAAATCAAGTCACAGGCATAGAATTTCACTGATGTTACCCTATATTAAGCTTACTTTTTTGGATAATAATCATCCCCAAATTTCACTGGAGGTTTTGGTCTAAGAGAAAATTTGCATTATTATATTTTCTCTAACTTTTCACGTTGAAAGATGTTCACATCTGTACCTTTATTTAGTGTTGCAATTGCTACTTTAGTGCTACAATTCCTAATGTAACACTTTGCTGATTCAAAATGAGTTTTGGACATAAAACTTCATCTCTGTATTTCAGCATGTATTTATTAAGAATAAAGATATGAGCCTATATAATCACAATACCATTCTCATATATTAGACATTTTCTTAAGATAGGATTCATGTTCAGATTCATCCTATTATCTTCAAACGGGCTTTTATCACTACCTCCATTCAGACCCCAAGTAAGGCTGTGTAGTGTATTTGTAAAATTATATTTTAAAAGACTCCATACATACGACCTATTTGATCATGGCCTTGAGTCCTCAATATGAAGTAAGGCAATGTAAATAACTGTCATGTTTTATCAATAAAAATTGAAGTCTCCATGATGGAAAGGACTCTGGAAGTAGGAAGACAAACATACTTTTATCCCATCTTCTCAGAGATGATCAACTAATCTCAGCCTGAATATTTTCCATGATGGGAAGGTGGCTACTTCATGAAGTAACTGTTTCACTATCACACGATGGTTAACTCTTGCACATTCTTTTTTTGTTTTGTTTTGTTTTGGTTTTGGTACAGGGAATAAAATTAAGGTCCTTGTGCTTGCGCAGCAGGCAGCGAAACCACTGAGCTAAATCCCTGGCCCCTCTTGCACATTCCTTATCATACAATGGATAGAACTTACCAGGAGATGCTTTTGCTACATCAATGCATCGATGCTGGGCTTAAAACAATTTTCTAAAATTAGAGCCATCCAAAACAGGACAGGTCTCATTATTTAAAAAGTCATCATTAGGAAGAATACTATTGCAATAGTATGCATTGGTGTGCTAAATACATTTAAGAGATTACTTATATTTTCATAACCACTCTAGTGAATATCCCTCTCAGTTTGCAGGGGGGGAAGGAAGGCTCAGAAAGCCAAGTCACTATACATAAAATTTTATCACTAGCTACTGAGTGAGCTGGGTTGATCCCAGGTCTGACTCATGTTTGGATCCCACCTGCCTTTGTCACTAAAAGTGTTCAAAGGCAGGATAACCATGTGCTAAGAATGCCTGTGGTGAGATCCCTAACCATGACAGATGAGAAGACAGGATGTCACAAAAACCTCTTTTATACTATAATCCATGATGCTTTTTGATCTTTGCTTTTTAATGTTTGCAAAGAAGTATTTTTACAACCTGGGAGCACACTGTTTCTTTTATATTCATTAAGAATATATGAGTATCAGGTACTCATATGTCAATAAAATGCAGAAGTCATGATGTGCTTTTTGTGAGGAAATTCAATAAAAAAGGGTAGGGTTAGGAAAAAGCAAATCTTACCTTATCATAAATTGTAGCATTTCGAGCTGCTGTTGAAACCCACACCTCCTTGAAAAATTTGTCACTCACTGGATCCTGAAGGTCCTCACTTGGGTCAGAAAGGTAGCCAAGGACAATCCTGAAATACAAAGTACCCTCCAAATTGAGTAACTGAGATAAAGAAGTTTGCTGATTGTTTTGTTTCTTATGGTAACAGTAATTCAGAATTCAACCATAGAAATAAATTTTTTAAAAAATAAAAAACCATTAAAACTAACTGTTATCTATCTTCCTTCTATCTATTCATCTAACCTAAGTAGCAAAACAAAACAAAAATTAAGAGCTATTTCTTTGATGTTTAACTGTTACCAAAAGTATCTTAATTTTCTTCTAAGAGTATCCTTATAATTAGCCTAAGGTTGTCAAAACCTTGGAAGATAGTATCAGCACTCAAAACATGTACCAGTCCCAGCGCCCGGGAGGAGGCTCCCCCGCCACCATTCCATGCTCCTAGGGCAGAGAAGCTGAGCCAGTCCCAGTGCCCAGGAGGAGGCTCCCCCGCTGCCATTCCATGCTCCTAGGACAGAGAAAGTGAGCTGCACGGGTGCCAGAAGCACCCCCACCCCCCGTGGAAATGAGAAGACATGTAAACAAGCCTCAAAAACAGATTTCTGGATCACCTACAGCAACCCCAAAGGGAAACAAGATGGAACAATCTGATACTCAACCACCTAGACTCTCTGAACTGGCAACAAAAGAGGATCTGGGAAAAATGACATCAGAAATAATTACTCAGATAACAGCAAAGATTTTGCTCACAGTGCAAGACATGATTAATAAATCTAGAGAGGGCAGAGATAAAAAAATAGAGGATCTGAGGAACATGATGGAATCCCAACATAGGAAACAAATGGAACCCATAAAGCAGATGCAAACAGATTTCCAGGAGATTAAAAACTCCATCGAAAGTCTGCGCAGCAGAATGAACCAATGTAAGGATAGAATTTCAGATATAGAAGATAAGATTGCAATTAGTGACCAGGAAAAGAAAAATTGCTTTAAAATTGTAAGGGA